TTGATTGATTGATTGATCGACCGATCGATTGGTTTAAAAAAAAATTAAATAAATTACATCATTTTCGTGTATGTTTGATTGTTTGTTTCTTTGTTTGTTTATGTATAAATTCAGGTACTTGTTTTTTTTTTTTTTTTTTTTTTTCAAACAACAGCATTCGGTGTTCTTCTGGTTTGTTTTTGTTTGTTTGTTTGTTTTTGGCATCGTCATTTCATTTTATTTCTTTTCTTTTCTTTCCTTCTTTTCCATTCATTCATAATTTTTACGTGTTTCACTCACTCAATCATTCTCATACGAAGGGGGGTAAAGTGAAAAAAAAAGAGCGAGAGAGAGAGAGAGAGACAGAGAGAGAGAATACGTTCCCTTACTAATTAATAAAAACAACAACAACAGCCGAAAAAAAAAAATAATAATAATATTTTATAGCTGCCACGTTTAACTCGTCTAATCAACAACAACAACAACAACAATAATAATAATAATAATAATAATAATTGCGTTTGTTCGATTGTAGTAACGGTTGCTTGTAACTGTTGTGCAGTGACGTAACTAACCCTTCACGATAATAATAAAATTCATTCTCTCTCACTCGTATTTACAATCGAGCTGTGGCATTGATATCCTGGGTGGTGATAATAATGATAATAAATAATAATATTCAAAATGATAATGATGATAAAAAAAAAAAAAAAATTTGAGGGTCGACCATGTTGGTGATGATGATGATAATGATAATTACTTTACACTTTTTTTTTGTTTTTTTATCCTTCTTAAAATTCTAAATAATAATAATAATAATTAATAATAATAATAATACCACAGCTTAATTAATCTTTAATTAGGTGTTTGTTTAATTAACTTCTTCTTCTTCTTCACCTAATTAAATGTGGGGAATTACTACGATTCTAATAATAATAATAATAATAATGACAGCGTAAAGCTTCGTCAGTGTAAGCCATTATTATTATTATTAAAAATTTTTCCGTCGGAAAATAATTCTCGGGCGTAGAAGAAGAAGAAGAAGAAGAAGAAGATTTTCACCAAATTTTATTGGATCAAAAAAAAATTTCTCCTCCTCCTCCTCCTTCTTCTATTTTTTATTATTATTATTATTAATTACTTTTTGGTACGAGAGTATTAACGATGATATTGTTTCAAATTTAGACGGACACGCACGCACCCCCCTACCCCTACATTTATCATTCTATCCCCTTTTCCCCCCTTTTCACTCTTCCTCACTACCACCACTACCACTCCTACCCCCCAACTACTCCTAAGAAAAAAAGTAATGCGTAGTATTTCAATAATAATAATAATAATAATGGGAGTAGCAGTAGCATTATGAGGAGTAGCAATGGTGGTTAATGACAATGATAATAATAATAATTCCTGCAAACTAACGACTGAATGAACGAATGATAATAATAATAATAAAATTAAACAATTAAATAATGACTACCAAAAAAAATTTAAAAAAAAAACAAAATCATATACCACGATCGATAATTGTTGAATTAATTAAATCGCGAAATTATTTAAATAAAAATTATTAATAATTAATAATTAATTAATTAATTGTTAATAAATACATAAATTTTTTTTTTTTATGTTTGTTATCAATATAAGTAAGTTAAATAATATTTATCCCAAACGTATTTGTTTGTTTTTTTTTTTTTTTTTTTTTAAAGAAATAGAAAAAAAAAAAAAAATTCAACATTAATAATAATGATAATAATAGTAGTAGTAATAATAATAATAATAAAAGTATTATTAATAATAATAATAATAACTTAGTAAATTTTTTTTTTTTTTTTGATTGTTTTTCGTTACAATCGATCGATCGATAAAAAAAAAATTCGAAACGTAATAATAATAATAATTTTTGTTTTTTCACATGCGTGATCACGTGACGTCAACAAACGCATATACACGCACGTTATCATTACGTATCGAATATTATCGATCGATCGATAGATCGATTTTTTTTTTTTTTTAACTTTTTATATATTTTTTTTTTTGTTTTTAATTTTTTTTTTGTTTGGTTGGTTGGTTGTTTTTTTTTTTTTTTTATTTGATTAAATGAATTTACCTCCAGGCAGCGGAAGAAATCCAGTCCCAGAACAATCAATCAATTTTTTTCGGAAGTGTGCAGATTTTGTGCGGGTTGAAGGTTTTTTTTTTTTTTTTTAATTTTGTTTCGTTAGTCCGGCCGGGCAGCGTTACCTTGTTACTCAGGGACGGATGGTTAACTTGGTGAAAGCCAGGGCTGATTCGTGTTAAAAGAAAAGAAAAAAAAAAGAAAAAAAAAACAGTTGTTAGTATTTTTATAGATAAACATAATAATAATAATAATAATAAATGTAATACGAATCTTAAATAACTAAATAAAGACGAAAACATTATCATCATCATCATCATCATCATCATCATTGCTAACGTTTATTTATTTATTTATTAATTAACTCAAAAACGTGACGTCATAACGACAGCCAAAACAAACAACAACAACAACAATAATGATAATAATAATGTTTTTTTTTTTTTAACTACCCCTTTAAAAAAAAACACATAATAATAATAATAATAATAATAATAATAATAATAATAATAATAATAATAATAATAATAATAAAGCAACAAAAATTTTCTTTTTTTTTTTTTTTAAATTTAAATAATAATATATATTATTTATTTATTTATTTATTATTATTATTTATTTATTTATTAATTTATTAATAAACTATATATTTTAAACTACTACTACCCTTTTAACTCCCCACCAATTTTAATAATATTATTATTATTTATTCGATTTCGTTGTTTAATAATTTTTTATTTATTTATTGTTAGTTATAATAAATAAATAAATAAATAAATATTTAACGTATTTATTTATTTTATTAATTAATTAATAATGATAACAATTATTATTAAACTACTTTAAAATAGAGTATTATATAATAATAATAATAATAATTTGAAAAAAAAAAAAAAAAAATTTATTTATTTTTATTTATTATTATTAAGCATGAAAATGGTGGCAAACGAATAATTATTATTATTAGTTATAAGACGGACGGACGACGGACGACGTTCATTCGTTTTATGTTTTTGTTTATGTTTATGTTTTCATGTTTTTTTATGTTTTTTAATGTTTAAATAAAATCAAATCACGTGAATAATTTTTTTTTTACGTGTACGTATCTCGTTCGTAATTTGTTATTATTAAAGCTTTCGGATGCAAAAGAGAGAGAAAGAGAGAGAGAGAGAGAGAGAAATATACGTATATGAATTTGTTTTTTTTTTTTTTTTTTATCCTTTTCGCCTGGAAAAATGATGATAATAATAATAACAATAATAATAATAATGATAAAAACCTGTTAAGAAAAACAAAAAAAAATTTCAAATAAAAATTAATACTTAGCATATGTATAATAAAAAAAATTTTCTTTTACTTTTCGCGTAATCCAAAATGTGCGTGCGTGCGTGCGCGTGTGTACGCGTGTCCGTGTCTGTGTGTGTGTGAGGGTCATGTGACGAATAATAATAATATTTTACGAAAAAAAAAACGTTCCCTACCCCACCCCTCGCTCCCGAAAATTCTACCTAATATAATTCGAACCAAGTGAGAGGAAACCATTAAAAAAAAAAAAAAAAAAAAAAACTCCCGCCAAAAATTTAAATAAATAAATAATACAATTAATAATAATAATAATAATACGCGATGCCGTTGGAAAAAAGGTTTTTCGTTTTGTTTAGAATGCTGTAGAAAAAATTATTAAATAAAAAATAAATAAATTTTCTTTTTTTTTATTTTTTTTATTTATTTTTTTGATTTATTTCATCATTTTTACTTTTTTTAAAAAACTTTTTTTTTTTTTTTTTTTGTTGCTCTTTCCTTAAAACTTATACGAAATAATAATAATAATAGTAATAATAATAATAATAATACAGAGAATAAAATATAAAAATAAAAAGTCATGGAAATGAAAAACAAAAAAAAAAAAAAAAAAAAATTTTTTTTTTCCTTTTTACCTCTGCTACACACTCTTACCCCCCCTTTCCCCTCCCCTCCCCCGGTGTTGTGCACGCATACACTTATTTTCCCGCCTTTTCCAGTACATCATATTTAAAATAAAACGGGGGATCCGGAGGGGTATGGGGGGTTGGTATAGAAAAAGCCGAGAGGGAAAAAGGAGAAAAAAAAAAAAAAAAAAAACGCAAAAGAAATAAAATAATAAAAATCACAACATGTAAAAACCGATTTTGTCAAAATGTTTAAAAAATAATAATAATAATAATAATAATAATAATAATAATTTAAATATGGCGTCGAAAAATAAAAAATAATAATAATAATAAAATCGGTTCGAATTAATAATAGTACGAAAAATAATATAAAAAATAAAAAAAAAATATAATAATATTAATATACAAATGTGGTATAGACTAGCTGAACGATTTATTTATTTATTCATTCATCGATTGATTGATTGACTGATTGAATGTAAAACGAAATTTTTTATTTACAGGTAAATTACACATTTTGTTTATATATATATAAATTATATCTATTAACGTGATGAGTAATAATAATAATAAAAAAAAAAGTTTTCGTGAAAGTCTAAGAAAAAAAAAAAAAACGAATGACGTCTTCTTATATAAAAAATGTATGTGAGAGAGAGAGAGAGATAGAAACAATTCGCGCCATTTTTTTTTTTTTTAAATTAAAACCACGACGATTTCAAATCGAATTCCATTTTTCATCCCTCCCACCCACTCACCCACCCTCCCTTCTAATCATATTACAACTTCACCTTATCTTACCTTTTTCTTACCCGCACCCCCTCTCCCCATTAAAATAATAATAACCTGGAGGAATAATAATAATAATAATAATAATTAAAATAATAATAATAAAAACAAACTAAAACTAACCTTTTTTTTTTTTGTTTAGAAAAAAAAACTTTTTTGTGACAAAAAAAAACAGTGTCATTAGATTAAGAAATAGCATTGGCTCTTTGATACGGATGCTCTCGGATCTGACCAAGATGGCGGCGCTGTTTGGCAGCTGCAGCAGCTGCAGCCGCTGCCGCACCTGCTTACAGAAAAACAATTTCATTTGTAATTTATATATATGTATATATATATATACACACAAACACTTATTTAGAAAGAAAATAAATATAAATATTAAACAAAAAAAAAATTTTCTTTTTCTTTCTTTCCTTCTTCCTAAAAGTGAAAAAAAAAAAATAAAAAATAAAATAAAATAAAATAAAAAAAGATTATACACATATATAAAACTTTCACACGCTTATCATACGAAATATACATAAAAACATAATGATGATAAACATTAATAATAATAATAATAATATTGGTAACGAACATATATAAAATACTAAATATATATATATATACATACACAAAATAAAATATTTAAAGTTTTTAAAACTGAACCAAAAATTTTATTTCATTTATTTATTTTCCTCCTTCCCCTCTGTCCTTCCCTCTCTCCCTCGCTATTATTTTCTTCCTCTGGGAGGAGGGAAGAGGAGGAGGAGGAGACTAAAAACAAAAAAAAAAAAAAACGAGTAAGAAAATTCTTTTTCACGTCCGCCATTTTTATTTATTTTTATTTTTTCTCTTAATTTTATTTTAAATGGAATATTTGAGACTGAATAAAAACAACAACAACAGCAGCAGCAGCAGAAGACAAAAAAAAAAGTGCGTTTGTATGCGTGTACGAAAAAAAAAAAAAGAAAAATTCTTTTTCTCCTATTTAAATTTTTTTTTTTTTTTTTTTTTTTACTGGAATGTTTCACGTGTACTGTACGTGTAAGATTTGGTTCCATCGATTTAAAAAATAAATACTTTTTTTTTTTTTTTTTTTTGTGGGGGGGCGGACGGCGGACGGCGTTGACTGTTTGTCATTTTGAACACAATTTTTTTTTTTTTTTTAAAAAAAAACTTTTACTTGAAAAACGGACGAAATTCTTTTCAGTTTTAAAAACTTTAATTTACAAATAATAATAATAATACTAATAATAATAATAATAATAAATAAAAAAATAAAAAATAATTTCATTTCGTATCGAATGTTCCACACGTAAATATACACACACGCGCACGTGTCCGTATAAATATAAATATACGCAGCACGTGTAAAATAACAAATTTCGATAATAAACACACACACAACAACAACAACATAAAAAACAAAACAATGCAATAAATAAACTTTAAAAAACAGGGAAAAAGAGAGAGAGAGAGAGAGAGAGAAAACAAAAACAAAAAAAAATTTTTTAAAATTAGGTTTATACGCTCTCTTTGTGTGGTGTGTGTGCGTGTGCGTGTGTATTTACGTGCGTGTCACACTCGTAATTCTTTTTTTTTTCTCTTTTTCCTTTTTTTTTTTATTTTTATTTAAATACATATACGTAAAAAAAAAAAAATACTTAATATAAATAAATATACAAGAGGAAAAAAAATAAGAGAGAGAGAGAGAGTAAAAAAAATTATTATTATTATTATTACGCTACTTAATATTGGCAAAAAATAAAAAAAAAATACAAAAAAAAAAGCGAAAATATAACGAAAAAAAAAAAAAGGTACTAACTAGGCACTTATATATATATATAACTTATGCATAATAACGTGTGTGTGAGAGAGAGAAAGAGATAGTCTACATGCATACATACATACACATCTACTTTTCCAACAGTTTTACCGAAATGATAATGATAATGTGATAATAAAATAAAACGAACGATACTTTCTGGGTATCGTAATGGCCCACAGTAATTTTCCACACCCTCCCCTCACTCCCTCCCTACTTTCCTCCCCGATTTACTCGCGAATTAAAAAAAGAAAAAGATGACGACGACGACGATGATGATGATGATATAGTAGGAAAAAAAACAAAATGGACGTTGGACGCCATTTTGAAATGCCCCAAAAAATATATATAACAAATCGATCGATTGATCGATAGATCGATTTATATCGAAATTAAGCAGAAAAAATTTTTTTAAAAACAATTCTAAACGGTCATCATCATCATCATCATCATTATTAGAGTACGCGACGCCATTTTTATATATTTATTCTCGTTTATTTATAAACATTTTTAAAGAAACGAAAGGGAAACGAGAGAGAAAAAAGAAAAAAAAAATCTTTGGCACCGTCGAGGCAACAACAGGATATCGGTTTATTCTTCTTCTTCTTCTCTTTCTTCTCCATCTTTTCCTTCTTCTTCTTCTTCTTATTCATTCTACGTTTTTATTATATACATATACGAAACATTTTCAATACCGGAAATTACTAAACTTATGCGATGTTTTGTGATGTGATGTTCGTTTGAATAATGGCCACACACACATTTTTATAAAACTCTACTACAACTATACTATTTACTATCATTATCATCATCATTATTAATTACAATGAATTCTTCCACCCCTTCTATGTATGCAGGTACGCATGTATGCATGTATGGATAAATTATGTAACTAAATGCAATCAAACAAGGTTCGAAAAAAGGTTTTCAACTACTACTAAAAAAAAAAAAACTACTAAAAAGGAGTATATCATCAGATATTATCACCGGGTTCACTCTCCTATCATTTACACACTTCAATAATAATAATAATAATAATAATAATAATAATAATAATAATAATAATAATAATAATAATAATAGCAATACGTATCACAATTTCATAATAAAGCTAAATATATATATTGCAAGCGAGCGAATCTTTATAAAGCGAATGAGAGAGAAAGAGAGAAAGAGAGAGAGAGAGAAAGAGAAAGAAAACGAGGAACTAATGCGGCGAATGTTCCATAAAAGATTTACAACATTTAAAACAAAGAAGAAAAAAAATGAGCATGAGAGAGAGTGAGAGAGAGTGAGTGAGAGTGAGAGAGAGAAAGAGAGAAAGAGAGAAAGAGAGAAAGAGAGAAAGAGAGAGAGAGAGAGAGAGAGAGAGAGAGAGAGAGAGAGAAAGAGAACGACAGAAAGAGAATAAAGTAGGGGGGGAGGGAAAAAAATTACTATAATAAAATGGCACTAAAGAAATAAACCTTAATTAAACTTATTAAATATTTAATAAAGTAAAATGGCGAGGGGAGGGGAGAAAAAGAGGAGTGGAAAGGGGAAGGGGGAAGAGGGGAGGGGAATTTCGGGGGGCGGAACACGAGGAAAAGGAGGAAATTAAACATGATTATTACTACGACGATAATAATAATACACAAAAAAAAAAAAAAAATTTGCGATGTTCCAACGTGACGATCATATGGTGAGAGAAAGACAGAGTGTGTGTAAGTGAGAGAGAGAGAGAGGGGGGAGAAAGGGGGGGGAATTTATCGGACCCCATTGGTCCCATCAAGTTTAATTAATTAATTAATAAATATATATATATATAATGTCACTAAATCTTTTAATTACAATTAAAGGAACGACACACTAAAACTTACAGAGAGAGAGAGAGAGAGAGAGAGAGAGAGGGAAAGAGGAAAAGAGAGAGTGAGAGACAGAGAGAGAGACAGAGAGAGAGAGAGAGAGAGAGAGAGAGAGAGAGAGAGAGAGAAAAAAAAGTCATAAAATAATTATGGTTGAGACTGCGCAATTTCCTAAAAAAAAAAAAAAAAAAAAAGTTGCACAATTGACCGTAATGAACTTACGACAAAGTTATTTAAAAATTTTTTTTTTTTTTTTTTTTTTTTTCCTCGTCTCGTAAATTATAAATTAATGAAAATTAACGGCAAAGACAAAAAAAAAAATGTCGGACAAAAGAGAGAAAAAGAAAAAAACAATTTTTTCTATCTCTCTCTCTCTTTTTCCAACATATTTAAAATCTCAAACGTTTAATTTAATATACAGCAATGGCAGCAGCAACAGCAGAAGAAGCGGAAGCAACAACACCTCGAAAAAAACAAAGAAAAAACTTTTCCGAACGTGGAAACGTCGCAAAAACTAAATACTGGCAACAATAATAATAATGATAATAATAATATCATTATTATCATTAACGTAAACGCGCTATGCGAATAGGTACGAAAGTGCAGCGAAGTGAAAATTCATTCACTTATACGAATACATAAAAGAGTAGTAATAGTAGTAGCAATAGTAATAGTAGTCGTAATAATAATAATAATAATAATAGTAATAATAATAATAATAATAACTATATGGAATAATAGATTTAAGTAAGCAAAGTACGAACGTGCAAGGCATAAAAATAAAAATAAAAATTCAATATAAAAAACAAACAAACAAACAAAAAACACCGATATTCGTTCCAAGAGAGAAAGAGAGAGAGAGAGAGAGAGAGAAATGCGCGTGTGAGAGAGAGAGAGAGAGAGAGAGAGAAAAACACGCTTTCCCAATATTTTCATATATATATATATATGTGATGCATATATTTTTGATGAGATGCGCGGCGTGTATGTGCGTGTGTGCGAGTTATTAAAACTTTTCGTAATCGGACGTTATTATTTTCGTCGTGTCATTAGACACACGCACACGCACACACGCACGAAACTCTCTTCCCCCTTCACGCTTCTCGTCGTTATTTTACAACTAATGACAAAGTCAGTTTGAAAAACGATGACGTCACGTCAAAAAATAATTTTTTACTCTCTTTCCCTCTCTTTCTTTCCCCTCCTCCTTCTTTTTTTTTTTTTCGCTTTAAAAATATTAACGTTCTCACGCATGTGCGTTCGTACATATCTCTCTCTCTCTCTCTTTTTGTGCATACGGTAAAAATATATGCAAACGCAGCGTGAAAACGTATATATCAAAAAAAAAAAAAAAAAAAATGCATTTAAGTAAAAATAAAAAAAAATAAAAAAAAAGCTATCAAGCTTTAAATAATTAACGATATACAATAAAAATGTGACAATAATAATAATAATAATAATAATAATAATAATAATTACGTAAGTGATACAACCTACGATTGGCAAATGTACAAAATAATACGATGCAGCAATTGCAAAAAAAAAATTTTTCGATACAAAAAAAAAAAAAAACGCGTGTGCGTGTGCGCGTAACATATGCGTGCGACATATACACACACGCATAATTTTTTCTTAAACTAATAGGCTTTCGTATAAAAAATAATAGTAATAATAATAATAATAATAATATTGCAATCATAAAAAAAAATTAAAAATAAAATAAAGCTACGTAAAAAAAAAATTTTTTTTTTTTTTTGCGGGCGTTCGCGCACGCGCACGCGCGTTCTCATTCTTTAAAATTTTTTTTTTTTTTTTTTTTTTTTTTTTAAAAGCAGGCGCTACGCTAGTAGCATATGTACGTCCTCTTCCATGAAAGCGGATCAGCCGGCGGAGGTTTTGGTAGATATTCTAGAAAATTCGAGAGATTTTCTTAAAAAACAAACACGTTAGAGACATTCATTCGCATCATCATCATCATTATCATCATCATCATCATTTCTCACATTCACATTCACGATTTCCCCCCCACTCCTCCTTACCCCACCCTCCCCTCAAACTTTTTTCTGGAGTTTGTAGTTGTTTACATGTCAAGTCGGTTCAATCCCCCCGCGAATTTCCCTTTTTATTCCTAACGGGAAAACAAATATTCTTCGTATCCTATTCTTTTCCTCTACGTTAACGTAACGTAACGTTCTCGTGTAAAAAAAAAAAAAGTAACAAACGAACAAACAAACGAACAAACTTATTTTGTAAACAACAACAATTTGACTAACTGCAACAAACGTTATTATTACGTTAAACATTCAATGACGGTTGTTGGAAAATTGCGATTGAACCGACTCCACACATTTTCGCATGTATAATAATAATAATAAAAAAATAAAAATAAGTTATAATAATAATAATAATAATAATGATAATAATGATAACAATTAAAAACAGTCTTTTTGTTTGTTCTTAAAAAATCATTATTATTTTTACTAGCAACAAACTTAAGACTGTTTTTTCTTTTTGTTTATGTTTGTTTATGTTTGTGTTTGTTTTTGTTTTTACATAATTTTTTTTCTTTTCTCATGCCAACTAATTTTTATCATCATTATTATCATTATTGGACATTAATCTGGCATATTTTTATTTTTTTATTTTTTCGGTTGTAATATATATATATATATAAATATATTACAAAAAAATTACAATACAACTACAATCTCACGTTCTTTCTTTCTTTCTTTTAAAAAACACTTATTTCCTAATGGTAAAAGAATAATAATAATAATAATAATCGTTTGTTTTTTGTAAATATTTAAAATTACGACTAGAAAAACAAAATTTTCCATTTTTTTTTTTTTTTTATGTACATAAAACGTTCTATTATGAAACTTTTCGATGTTTCAAGTCACTGATAGACTGAATGACTGACTGAATGATTGATTGACTGACTGTTTGCCTTGACTGTCGCGCGGCAAAACAGTAAAAAAAAAAAAAAAAAAAAAAAAATGGAAAGAAAAAAAAATTTTTTTTTTTTTTTTTCATTATATCTAAATACCGTGCTGTAGTACAATAATACCTTTCAATAATAATAATAATAATAATAATAATAATAATAATAATAATAGTTTTTGGCAATTGTAAATTGGTCGAATGAAAAATCTCGCGAGATTTTCAAATTTTTTTTTTTTTACGCGACGTCGACGATGACGTCATCGAACGTCAAAAAAAATCTAAACCAAAAATAACCAAAAAAGGTTGCAAAAAGGCAAAATGGCAAAGGTAAAAAAAAAAAAATAAATAAATAAAAATAAAGATCATACGTAAGAAGTGACGTAAACAGTACCTGTGTGATCGGCGGATGCGTATTCAGTGAGTAGCGGCGACGTGGCTAACGCTGCGTAGTTAGCATAGTCCGCATACGGTGTGTATATGAGACCGGGATGTTCGGCAGGAGAAAGAAGGGGACCCGTTCCGGTTCCGTTAAGTAAAGAAGCCGCTGTCGTCGGAACGGGGAGACGTGGCGAGATTATGAGTGGGGCTCCCAATGGCGTCGCCGGCGACCTAAGCGGAGTGCCCAAACCGGGCATGGCAGGAGATAATAATCGTTGAGTTTCTGCCGCCGCCGACACCGCTAACCTTCTCCATTCTTCGTCGCATGCTGAAACAACAACACATTCCATTACTATTAAAAAAGAGAGAGAGAGAGTGGGGGAGAGAGTGAGAGAGAGAAAAGGATACCAACCTGCGACAGCTGCCACCTTTGCGTTGCTATCTCTATATGTTCCATTTATTATGGCAAGTTCCATGAGCTGCCTTTTTTTAAGTTCGTCCTCTCCGTCGGCCGGTACGAGTAATTTTTTAACTTCTTCCACGGCTCTTTGCAATTTGACTTTCGCTCTGTTTTCCGTGTCTTCCACGGATAGCAACACGTGTAAGTCTTCGTTTAAATGCTCCCAATTTTGTTTACCACGATTTGCTTCCTCCTACGTTCGATAAAAGAAAACAAACCAACAAATTAAAATAATAATAATAATAATAATGAAATTAATTTTATTCGAACGACAACGACAACGACAAATCGGTGCAATATCGATTTTGACAACAAACGGATTACAATTTCGTCATTCCTATACGTACCTCCGCTGGGAAAACAACAACAAACGTTACATCTCTTTATAAGGAAGCAGCTTGAAAAACACAAAAAAAAAAAAACCGTCACCGTCAATAATAATAATAATAATAATAATAATGATGATGATAACAATAATAAAAAAAAATTTCTTGTTTGAAAATTGTTTACAGTAGCAGACGCCGAACGTGGCGGAGAAGGAAATTAAAAAACAAAAAAGAAAAGAAAAAAATGGAGGACCCGTGCCAAATTATTAATAATAATGATAATAATAATAAAAGGAAAGAAACAATAAAAAGATGACAAAAGAAATAAATAAATAAATAAATTTTTTTTTCTTCTTCTTCGTGCGTCACCTTTAATTAAACAATACCATTTTAAAACAACAACAAAAAAAAAAAAAAAAAAGCAGATGATAATTAGATGTCGTATAAACGATTGATAAGGAGAGTCTGGAGATAGATAGCGCTGGAAACGTTACAAACAAACAAACAAACAAAAAACTTTTACTGGATAAATTTAATTACAGATAAAAAAAAAAAAAAAAAAAAAAAAAAAAAAAACTTTCTCTCCTTTTTCTTCTTTCTTTTCTTTTCTATCTTTAATGTCTGTCTTTTTTTTTTTACCCCTTGACCTCTACCCCTCTATCCTCCCCCCTACAGATCTTTCCACCGCAGGTTTCTCTACCTTTGAGCAGAATAAATTTTTTTTTTACTGTCCAAAAACAAATCTTTTCGAGATTTTACATTGTTTTTCCCCCTTTAAAAAAAAATTTTCTGCAGGAAAATTTAAAAGAAAAAAATGATGATGATAATGATGATGATGATGATGATGACGAAAAGAAAAAGATTTCGTTAAAAAAAAAAATAAATAAGAAAATAAATAAAATAAAATGAAATAAAAATAAATTTTCTATAAATAAATGTTTTCATTACGTCATAATTATTAGCGCCATTTATTTAAATTTTCGAAAACAAACAAACAAACAAAAAAAAAAAGGAAAATTTCAATGAATCTCGCCGTGCTCCTTTCGACAAGAAAAAAAAAAAAAAAGAGATAGAGCAAGAGAGAGAGTAAGAGAGAGAGAAACAGAGAGCAAAATAGAGAGAAACAGACAGCAAGAGAGAAAGAAAGAGAGAGCAAGAGAGAGGAAGAAAGAGAGAGCAAGAAAGAGAGAGAAGGAGAGAAGAGAGAGAGCAAAAGAGCAAGAGAGCAAGAGAGAGAGCAAGACCTAAACTGAAAAAAAATAAGATTTTAATACGATTAAATAAAACCTAATGTGAGTGAATTGCAGTGAGAGAGAGAGAAAGAGAGAGAGTTCAACAATCTTATAACGACAATGTCAAAAAGAATAAGAAGAAGAAGAAGGAGGAGGAGGAGGAGGAGGAGGAAATGGATGCTGCGAATAAAAATATCAAAAACTTTTGGCGTGACAATGACAATTAATTCAGTGAGATAATCGATAAATCGATACGCGAATTCTTATTTTACTAAAATGAATCATCACACATTTTCTCTTATTTAAAACTTGGATGACGATGACGATGATGACGATGATGATGATGATGATGATGTTAAAAATAATAATAAGAAATTAAGCGAACGAGGCAACAAACTCCCCTCCCCTTCTCCTTCACCTCCACACCCCGGACCCCCCGCCTCCCGGACAAATCGCAACAAACGCGACGAAAGGTAAAAATTGTGACGTCATAGTGTGAATAAAAACAAAAATAACTTTTCTTTCTCTGTCGTGTGCATGGACCACGTACGTCGTACGTGAGCGAGTCAATGAGTAAAAATAAATTTTTTTTGAGGGGATACGAGGGGAATTTTCGTTTCTTTTCTCCTCCCCCTCCACCTCTTTCCTTTTCTATCGTCTTTTTATCCGTCCTGTCGTAAAAAAAATAAAAAAAATTTTCATCTCACCTTTTTTTTGTCTCTCATCGATCCTTTCCCTCTAATCATTATTTTACATCCCGTTTCCTGTTCTAATTGTTTTGCAGTCATTCCTCTTGGTCCTAAAATCCGACCGACGAAATTAAACTGAAAGAAAACAAAGAAAAAAACATTATTATTATTATTATTAGTATTATAATTCTAAAATTTAGATAAAAAAACAAAAACAAAAAAGATCGCCGTCGTGGCAGGAGACAATCACCAGGAGTCATACACAGAGTCTTTCTACCGTGATTCAAAATGACTACTGGAAAACAGGGAAAGGGGAGAGAGAGAAAACCTTCTCGTCATCACATCTCGTCCTTTTCTTTTTTTTTTTCTTCTGCTTCCACGCGTGCATAGCAACAATCGCGTAAAATTAAAAAATGGAAACAAACAGAAAAGAGTGAGAGAGCGAGTGAGAGAGTGAGAGAGAGAAGAAACATATAAAACACGGCCATTTTTTCCTTTTAAATGTCGTAATTAAAATTTTTGCATGCAGTCGTCATAGGAATTTTTTTTTTTTTTTACGACGAACTTTTGAAACATGTTTCAAAAGCTCGGGAAGGAAATAATAATAATAATAAAAAAAACTTCCGAACGGTTTAAATAATTCGAACGCTGTCGCAGAATCCAAACCATCCATTCCGAAATCACAAACAACAACAAAAAAAAAAAAAAGAATAAAAAATCGATTCGTAAAAGCTTTCATGCCAAAAAATAAATAAATAAATAAACATTTTCTATAAATATAATAATAAAAAAATAAAAAAGAATCTCTTTGATTTTGAATGAATCCAACTAACCACTCAATTATTATTATTATTATTATTATCATTATTATTAATGTGCGTGTGCGTGCGAGAGTGCGTGTATATGTAATCTTGAAACGAGCCATAAATTTCTTACTATTCTTTTTTTTTAAACAAAAAAACAAAAATTACGTAAACTTTTGTTTTTTTGTTAAATTTCAAACAAATGAGAATTTAAATAGACGATCGTGGCAGAAGAAAAAACAAAAACAATTAATTTTTCCCGCGTAAAAATTTCCACGACAAACGTCATTCGTAAGTGAACAAATGCTCGCGATACAACGCACGCGTGAAATAAAAAACCAAAACGTCCTTCATAATAATAATAATAATACTAATAATAATGATGATGATGATGATGATGATGATGATGACGAACGTGGAATAAGAAAGTGAGAAAGAGAGAGAGAGAGAGAGAGAGAGAGAAAAAAAAAAAAACGAAAACGCGTAAGAAATAAAATTTAAAAAAATCGTCATCGATATCGTCGTCGCACGAAAGGAAATCCCCCGCTTCTCCCCAGCCCCGCGAGAACCATATGAAAAATTAATAAGACGATGATGAAGCGAATGAATGAGTGAATGACTGACTGATTGATTGATTGATTGACGCGATGATTTTCATTTGATATAAATAAATATATAAACGCCCAATAAAATGCAAGTCGAGTTTTCTTCTTTTTTTTTTTTTTTAATCTACGACCTTAACATACTACACCTTTTTTTTTTTTTTTTGTTAAAAATCTCTCTATTGACCCGTTTACGAGCGTCTCGCAACGGGGAAACAGATAAAATTTTCGGTCTAAAACCACGATTTTTAATTTAAAAAAAAAAAAAAAAAATTATTCAAGAATTTGCCTCGCCTAAAACATTAAAATAAAGGAGAAAGTGACAAAAAAAAAAAAAAAAAAAAATTTCGTTTGTAATGGATTTTTTGGGGAGACGGAGGAGAGAAAGAGGGAAGAGGGAGGGGTGAACGAGGGGGGCCGCAGTAAATCAAAAATAAAAATAAAAATAAAAATAAAGAAAAAGAAAAAAAATTAAAATAGTAGGCGCGGTTATTTTATTATCCATCTAGAAACTTCCTTCGAATTGAAAAAAAAAAAAATTTCTGATTTTTTCAAATCCGCGTCTTCTGCTTTTTTTTTTTTTTTTTGGAACACTCCCCCCAACCTTCCTACCTCATTTCCAACCTTTTCTCAAACGAAACAAGCCGATTTCGCTCGGGGGAGGGGGAGAGGAGAGGAAAAAAATACGCCTTATCGTAAACAAACGGTGATAAGATTTTCGTTATCGATCAAAAAATTTTCATTTGTTCTCTACGGTCCGCCCCACCTTCCGCCCCCCGCCCTCTCCCCATTTTAAAGCATTGTCAATAAAAATCAACGCCTCCCCCCTTCCCTCCTACCTAATCGTCACATCGCCAATAAAAAAAATTTTTTTTTTTCTTATCCCGAAAACAACGAAACGAAAATAAATGGCGTTAACTTATGTCGAACGTTTCTCCCTTTCTTCCTCTCTCTCCCCTCCCCCCGGGAAATGTCATCGACACGAAACGACGGACCAACAGGACTGCAGGGACTATAAAATTTAAAACGAGAGGCGAAGGGGGGGGGACTTGAATCCCATAACAGTTCGTAATTCGCGAGATTGCCACGCACGTCAAGTTTAATTTAATTTTCAAAATAAATTTTCGCGAACGTTTTGATCGTTTGTAACGGTCGAACGCGTGACGCACGCCGTAGATTAAAAACAAAATATTTATAGCAAACGTTCGTATCGCGATAATTCTATAATTAAAAAAAAAAAAAAAAAAATTCAAAACGAAATCGTCGTTAAAAATCTGTCGATTTCTCTTAATTTTTCTTTCTTTCGCCATATTTTTCTACTTTTTCTAATTCCACTGTCAACGAATCTCGTTTTTTTTTAGAAAGTTAAGAATTATCGTTTTGTTATGTTTCTCTCTCTCTCTCTCACTTCATAATTTATTCGTATAAAAGAGTAATAAAAAAAAAAAAAAAAAACAATGATGATGATGATAAAATAATAATAATAATGATGATGCGAATAAAAAATCGTTTTATTTACGATTTTTTTTTTTTACGAACGTGGAAGAAGAAAATTTAAAATTTACGAAATTTTTTTTTTATAATTCCGTTTTGATCGAATAGGAGATTGGGGGGGGGGGTGAGTGAGAGAGGGGAAGAAAGAAAACATTTTTGTCATTTTATACCCCGTAAAACTTTTTTCCAGCCCCATTCCTGGATATTATCATTATCATTATCATCATCATTATTATTATTATTATTATTATTTCAAAAACTTTCGAATCCCGGTTTAAAAAATCTTTTTTTTTTTTTTTAATTCGAATTTTGGTTGAAAAGGAAAATGCGCCAATTGTTCCATTTTGGCCGGAATTTCGTGCCGACCAAATGCAGGAAACAGAGAGAGAGAAAGACAGAGAAAAACAGAGAGAGAGAGAGAGAATGGGGGAGGGGGGGGCAAGAACGTAGAAAAGAGCAGAAAAACGAGTTTTGCGAATGATTAATAATAATAATAATAACAACAACAAATATTTTTTTTCTTTTTCATTATTAACCTTTTAATTTATTTACTGAAATTAATTGTTCTGATAAATGTTGGCAATTTTCAACAACAACAACAACAAAAAGTCTCGAAGGCAACAAACTCAATTCGGACCCCATTTTTCTTTTTTTTTTTTTTTTCTTTTTCCACGTTTTAATCGAATATCAAAGACATAAAATTTATAACGAAATCAAATCGAAAAAAAAAAAAAAAAAATGTCGAATGATGCGGGAGGGGAGGAAAAAAAATTAATTGGTTTCGCCCCCTCTTTCTCCCCCCCTCTCTCTCTCCCACCCACAAATCACGAATTCAATAACAATTGTCGTCAATAATAATAATGATAATAATATGACAGTCAACGAACCGATCGCCATCATCATCACCATAATCGGTGGGAAAAAAAAAAAATTTGCACGAAATTGAACGTTGCGATTAATTGTAATAACCGTGTCACATCTGGAAAAGGGAATCAAAACCGACGAAACGTGGAAGAAGAAAATTTAAAAAAAAACGTGAATTTTTAATTGACAGATTAGGGGGCGGGAAAGACGGGAGGAAGTAGTTAAAACGGAAATGATTTCGGGAGCGCATCGGGAAAAATACTCACACGCGCGTCAAAAAGCAACAAGAAAAACAATTTCCCGGAAAATCCAGCTCGAACCTGAAACGGATCATCGCCAATCAAACCTTGAAATGATGATAATAATAATCATTACCAAGAGAAAAAAAATTGTACAAACGGAAATCTCCAGGAATAAAAAAAAAAAAAAAAAAAAATTTTTTTTAATTAAACAATCGATTGTTACAAACGATCGATTTCCAGTTTTTGCAACAACAAACAACAACAACAACAAAAATTAAAAAATATCATACCGATGAAGAAGAAGAAAAAAAAAGAACGTGGTTTTAACAAAGTCATTTTTTTTTTTTAAATTTCATTCGTACGAGAAAACACGTTGTCGGCCGGTGTCGACGCCCCGGAATCGCTCGCAAAAAAAAAAATTTTTTTTTTTTTGCCGATATGATAAAATGAGTGAGTTTTTCGGTGGAAAGGAAACCTCTCTCTCTCTCTCTCTCTCTCTCTCTCTCTCTCTCGCAAGCTGGGAGGGAAAAACGTGTCAGAAAATAAATTTTTTTTTTTTTTTTTTTTTACTTACACGTTAAATTATTACATTGAAAAAAATCAGGTACGAAGAAGTTATCGACCTCGAGTTGTTAAAATCCCGCGACTTTCGGTATTAGAAAACAATTAAATTCTTTTTCTTTCCCTTTTTATTTTTCCGGTTTAATTAAAAGCTTTCGGATCCCCAAAAAATAGACAGTCGACCTTCCGTCGGAGGTACGGAGAAAAGAGGAGGAAGAAGAAGAACAAGAAGAAGAAGAAAAACAAACAAACAAACAAACGAAAGAAAAAGAGATTCGTCTTAAAAATAAAAAGCTCAACTTTTAAATCCCGTCCGTCCGAACGACATTTGTCGCGAACGTTAATTAACACCACGTTAAAACACAATAATAATAATAATAATAATAATAATAATAATAATAATAATAATGAAAACCGTTAACGAAAATCAGGTACGATTAATAATAACCCAAAGTTTTTTATTTAAAAAAAAAAAAAAAAAAACTAAATTATTATTAAACGCGAATAATTTCCCGGAGGGATGGTTAAAAAGGCGGAGAACCGAATCAATAATAATAATAATAATAATA